AGGTGAAAAGGAAGAATTGAAACATCATGAACTGAAGGGCAAAGATCCTTTCAGGTATTAAAATGTGGTTTTTCTTTTCATTGAAACAAATCCTACTGTACACATATAGTACTGCTACTGGTCCTTCACAAATAGTTTACTCAAACTCCCATCTCTGTTGTTTTCCCTACTTTTTTTTTGCTTTTCTTTCTTGTACTATAATTTTGATATTTAAAAAACTGTCATGTCCATCCATGATTAAGAGCTGTGAATTCATAAGGTGGCTTTAGCAAATACCATAGTTTCTGGTCTCTTCTACAATATAGAGCAATTTGTGGATTCATAGTAGGCTTTTCTTAAGCTGCAATATCTTGCCAATGAGGTGAAAAAATTGAGAGATAACTGGAGAACATGTGTAACTTGTACAGAGTGTTGGCAGCTGCATCAGTTTCACTGAAACCCTGCACTAACTGTGTAACAATTCTTACATACAGTACTTCAAAGTCCCTGGATCTGAAGTTGTGGGGTTCTTGACACGAAGGAATATACTGTAGCTCTACAATTCTGTGGACTTGCTTTCAGACTCTCTCAGACTTTCTAATGTGTGACTATTGTTTTCACTCATTAGGGAGCTCCACAGTGTTACGAAAAATGAATTTATAATAACTGCTTGAAAGACAAACAAAGAATATCTACCTAAGGTCTTCTTTTGGCAGAGGCTTGTGTTGGATGTTGGTATCACAACAGTAATTTCTCTTCAAATATATGAACATGTATTGTCTTTCCTAAAACTGTATTGCTTGCCTTATTTCAATATACTGAAAAAAAATCAAGTAATAAATATTTTCATCATTGGATATTCATACGTTTCTGGAAGATGCCATGTGAACAACAGAATATTCCAATTATTCTCATTTCAGATCTCACTTTGGATACAAACTATCTGGAATTATATAATTCTACTTTGGAGTAAAACTATGATTTTTCACATACTGTATGTAACTGCACATAATGTATATTTTTTGTAGCAGTTACAAGCACTTTCAGT